ATTGAGGTAAACAGATTGAGTAACTTTTTTTGTGACATCTGTACTGTTGGTAATAACAAACCTGGTAAAGGGCCAAATTAAGGACTGGCGTTTGGTATCACCAATGAAATTTTTTTTTTAAACACAGAATTTTGGCAATCAAATGTATACTGCTAGATTGGGAATTTATACATATGTACAGAGCAGTATCATCTGAAGGGGCATGGTGAGATGACTATGTTTCTGTTTAGTGTTTGCTGACCAAATATGACAGTGATATTATGCTAATAATTTTTTTTTGTTTCACAGTGTCAAAATCCTTCGAGGAGACAGTTGGAATGAAGATCGTCATTTATTTTATGGATACCAAATTAATTGTCAATGAGAGTTTGTTTCCTAGTTTGAAGAAACAATTACTGTTTTATGTGTTTTTTTTTTGTTGAGGACAATTTTGTTTGCCTTTACCCATTAAACAGTGTGCGCAAAACTATTTTTGATTCACATATCAGAGTGATTATATTTGTATTCCAGTCAGTCCTCTACCTACAGATGTATTTTTTGTTATTTTAGTATTTATGTTTTCGCAATAAATATACCTGATCAATTAACAAGAGATAGTGCTTGCATGATATTGCACTGATCAGGTTCATAATATAGAGAAAAATCCAGATGAGTAGAATACCTCTATGTATGTACAATTTATTGTAATGAAGAATTTGTTCTATTATTGCTGTGACTGTTCAGTAAATATTTTTTTAATTATACATTTTTTTATTATCCTGAAATTCATTACTAGTCAAACTGATGAAAGAAATACTCCCTTTATTGAGGATGTGTTATGCATCTATGATCATCGAACTGCCTCAATATCGGTCGTCAGTCAGATTTCGTAATGTAAACAAATGAAACCGCCGACACATTCCTGATATGCGTTGTCGGCATACTTTCAATATTTATAGTTCCACCAGATTTCCAGCCAAGAAAAGTGGCGCTGCCGTCGAGGTTATAGTCCAAGAAATATCTTCACATCTGCTCAGGAAAATATTCGGATTCAGACTTTTTGCATGTTATTCGAAAAAGCCTCCTAGTAACAAATCTACATGTTGTCAGGCTCCAAATTGCGTCTCTAACGGCCGTTTGCACGGACTTTTTCTTATGAGACCATTAGGTAAGAGTTATTGATCCCTTAACTTTAAAACGACTTGCACCGACCATATAGTCAACGCCAAACACAGTGGCGTGCACGTCATCACGATCCTAATGCCTATCACAAATAATTGCTCTATTGCAGTTTCATATTAATGTGATATATAAATTGTAAAATGGTCATTACTCCCTTATTATGGTTAATAGTCATATAAACATTGTTATTAAAATATCACATAAGTTGCTTTCTGATAAATTTAGACGCATTATGCGAAATAAAATGTTTTGCAAACGCTCCAATCACTTATCGACATGTAAACGCACTAAATCGATTTCGCAGCGTTGACACATTGTCACCTTGAAACTTATTTAAACTGGGAACTGACATTTGTATTAATTTTGACACTGAATCAATTTGTGGCATTTCAAATCTTTATAAATCCTTTGGCCCCGCATACTGTAAATCAACAACTGTTTGTTTCAAAACAAAATTATTCATTTTACGAGTAGATAAAGGCAATTTTGGTATATAAAGATGCCCAAACAGTTAAATAGTCGGTGTAAGGAACTCGTGGCCTCGTTAATGCACTACTTTGAGCACGAAAGGGACAACAACGGGCCTTTGTTGCCTTTAAATGCTGTTCAAGAGGTAGGTTACTAATAATTATATGTAATGTATATTAATAATAGTGAAATTTTATTTCATTTTTTGTAGCGTGTTGCTGCTGCTTTAAAAATTAGTTTAAGGGCAGTTAGTCGTATTTCCGAGGGTGTGAAAAGTGATGCAAATTTAGAATCGCCCAAGAAAAAGCGGAGTTATATTAAACGTGTAACCAACACAGCGACATTGGATACAAGTGCCATTCGAGAAGTGATCTATAATATGTATCACAAAAGTAAGATCTTATTATAATAACTTATCAGAAATTTGCATTAATTTGTTAACTAAATTATAATGTCATATTACACATGGTTTCAGAAGAACAAGTTACGATACAAACTTTATGGTCTCGATTAAGAGATAGGGCATTATTTGATGGTAGTGCCACGTCTTTAAGGCGGTTGCTTAGAGATCTTGGATTTAAGTGGCTTAAGGACAATCCGCGACGAGGGCTCATGGACCTACCAAGTATAGCTTTGAAAAGGGTGGAATTTCTAAGGCAATACAATCAAGCCAAGGTTGAGGCCTTATACCAGTTTGTCTTCCTCGATGAAACTTGGATATTTCAAAATGGGACCATAGGTCGCTCTTGGCAAAATGGAAACCAAAAAAGCGTGAAAGCTATTAAAACAGATGGTAAAAGGTATGTACTTTTACACAATTTGCACTATAAAATTTAAAACTAATATATTTTAGATACATTATATTACATGCTGGAAATGAAAATGGGTTTATTGAGGGTAGTGAAGCGATATTTTCTTCATATGGTAGTTTCATAGTGTCATCTGATCAATAATTGTCATACTTAATGATTATGCAAGTACAGATCTATAATTTTATTATACTATTATTTTTGTTCTCATTTGAGGTTAATATTGCTTATAAACCTAGATATGTAAATAATAAATTTTATTATTTTACAAAAAGTTTGGCAACAATGCAAATTTTTCAACACACCCACCTTGATGACGTGCACGCCACTTTGTTTGGCGTTGACTATATTTGTGCTTCACTTAGCTAATGGTCATTTAACTACGGATTCAATTTGGCAACGCTGTCGAAAGTGTCACTTTAACGTCAAAGTGTCAAGAAAGTATTAAATAAAATACGTTCCGTGTCAATTCGTGGTGACCTAACCTAATATTGCTAATTAACTGCGAAATATGTAAATTCATTTCTATTTCTATAATATTTTGCCTGCTTATAATAATGTGTGAGAATAAACGAAGCAGGGCAGTTAACTTTAGTCCAAGAGAACAAAATTTATTATTTTCAATCGCATTGAAATACAAGGATATACTAGAGAACAAACGGACAAATTCAGCAACAAACACTGCAAAACATGAAGCTTGGGGCAAAGTTTCCGCCGAATTCAATGCCACAAGTGCTGATTTCAATCACAGATCAGTGGAACAACTGAAAAGGTTATATGAAAATAAACGAATGTTAGCCAGGAAAAAAAAGGCTGATGCAAGACGAGACGTCCTGAAAACAGGAGGTGGACCACCTCCGAAAAACAATGAAGATGAGCTAGTGTTAGCCACAATGGACCCTGTCACATATGAGGGACTAGCATCCCCATTTGATTCTGACAATGTGGCTAGCATCAATATAGATAAAGGGGTTGATCAATTGGATGAAATTGAATTGATATTTGATCCACAGTGTGCTCAATCAAAGGTAAACTTTCAAAATTTAGAGTATGTGATGTTCCATTTTATACTTTATCTCAGAATGCCTGAGTTTAACCCACAAATTAATTGTAGGTGAATGAAATGACAAAGGACCTGGGAGACCATATTATAAATGAAAATAAAATTGAAAACGATAAGTGTAATGAATCACAAAAGAGCACCGCATCATATAATATATTATCTAAGGACTTGGAAGAAAATGAGGTAAATTTTGATAGATATGGAGTTTGAGGATAATAACTTGAAATTTTGTGAATTTTAGTGGACAAAGTCAAAGAATTCAACACTTTTAAATGTTTCCATTCTCTATGATGGAAATTGCCACATGTTGCTAATATATGTAACACATTTGACAAAATGAACATTTTTATAGGAGGTGGATTCTTTAATTCACCGGTTGATTCCACCACTGATGGATGCCCTGCTTATGGTTGACACTGTTGACAGCTTTGTATGGTGATGGCAGCAACCGGTTGAATTAAAAGGACAGATGTCTGGTCCACCGGTGGCACCGGTTGCTCAACCGGTGAATTAAAAAATACACCAAGGCCTATTGAATTTTTTTATCTAGATACATTGACCCAAAAAAAAATTGTGTAGCTCCAGAAAGTCAAGCCAAGCTACAACACTGATTACTATAGATACCTTTTCTTTTGTTTGACCAATATTTTTTTCTATTTTAGAAAGGAGACACACCAAAGTGGAAAAAGTATACAACAAAGGATTTGAAAAGACCAATCAGTTCCTCACTACAGAGAGGAAAAAGAAAAGTTTTAAGTGAAAGATAAGTAAGTCTGAATTCTGAAAAAAGGTCAACAAAAGTTTGTTAGAACTGTATAGCTAAATACTGACTGAAGTATTTTACTTCCAGGTATCAGATAGAAGAAGACCTATGGCAACAACAGTGAGGTCACTTGATCTAATGCTTTAGCACAAAAATATAATGATCTAGCTGACAAGAAAAATATCATCTGTGATCATCTTATAAAGAAAATTGAAAGAGAAAGGTTGTTCCAAGAAGAGGAGCATCAATTAAAAATCAGAATCCTTGAGCTAGATATCCAGATAAAAGCAAAACAGTTAGAACAACTGTCCTCTAATTAAGCCTTTTTTTTATAAAATATCCATTTTATTTTTAATCCTGAGTAACAAAAGAATCTTTGTTTTTTAAATGTTTGCTCAGGATAAATTTGTAGGAACTCTGTTTAAGTTGCTAGTCTTTTGTAAACACTATTGTGATGACTTGTGATGGTAAGTTGCAAAAAAACGTTTTATATTTTATGTTCCAACTGTGTTCTATATAATCAGAATTTATGCTGTTTCTGTTATTTATGGTTTTTTGTGATACATCAGTTCAATTTCTGCTGCATCTCAAATAGTTTTGTTTTGATGTGACAGGCAGTTGGATCTTTACTGTTTGTGTTACTGTAGTGAAGAATTTTTGCTAATAAAATATTTTTGATACTTTCATAGTTTTACTGTTTGACTTTATGAGTTGTATTCAAATCACTAAAACTAAATTCAATTTTAATATTCACTTTTATTTAGAAAATAATCTGTTCAGGATTATAATTGATTGAAAAAACGAATTATTTCCTGTTGTACACTGTTCACTGCTCCTCCTTCAGCCCCCATTTCAATCAAATAATCTAATTGTTCCTCATTCAAATCTTCAGGAACTGGAGGATCCGGATCATTCATGTCTCTTGCGATGTTGTGCAGCACAGTAGTAGCGACTATAAGGGCCAATATAGTTTCAGTTTTCAATCGAAGCCCATATGCAACTACTGGGAATCTACGTTTCCAGATTCAAAAAACCATTTCTATACTGTTTCTGGTGCGAATTAAGGCCTCATTATAAAGTTGTTCTCCTCAAGTATTAGGATTCGCTATGGGTGTCATAAGATAATTTTTTAGTGGATACCCACTATCCCCTAAAAAAGAACAAAAAAAGTCAGTTTTCTTCAGCATTTGATTAGCAAAAATTTGTTTTCACTACCAAGTGAACGAATCACTATCAATTATTACATCCATCTAATGAAAAATAGAAATAAATATTCGTCTCTGTTTAGGTGTTTAAAGATAATATGGCAACTGCATGTTGTAACCACTTGATATTTACAAAGATTTAGAAAATGATATTTTCAATTATTTCATTTTTTGATGCTCTATGACCTACCTATAATTAAACAACCTGGAAATTGTCCAGCCTCAAATCTTGCCCTGATAGTCGAGTTAGCAAAAATTGTTGAGTCATGAGTTGCTCCAGGCCAGCGAGCAACAACATCCAAAAACTTTAAGTTGGTATCCGTAAGACACTGCACATTGATTGAAAAAAATGATTTTCTGTTTCTATAGACTTCTGCATTGTGTCCACCTTTCAGATAAAAAGAAATTATAATTTCTTCTCATAAAATGGATTAGAATTGAACTTAATTTATACTTACCAGGTGACTGAATTTTCACATGAGTACAATCAATAGCAGCCACAGTCTTTGGAAATCTAGCAATGTTGTAGAAGTCATTTTGGGCCTGGACATGCTCTGTTGGTATAGGCATTTTAACTTTTTGGGGTCGTAAAGCTGCAATTACCCTGGAAACATGGGCCACAATACGACTTGCGCTGGATACATGCACGTTCATAAAGTCTGCTACTTGGACTAAATGCCCACTGCTTGCATAGAACCGTAATGCTAACAACAGTTGGTCCATTGGAGACAAACTGTTATTTCTAAAACAAATAAGGCGCAGATATAGTTTGAAAACCTTCTTTGGCAATTTGGCTTTATTAAGCTATGCCTCTTTAACAAACAAGGAACTAGTAAGATGTGCCAACTGTGAGTGAATGGGTATTAGGTATTGACTACAAGGAATCACCTATTATCAGGGTATTCTATTGTAGATCCACATAACAGATAGACTTCACGTAAACAAGGCCCTGCTGTGCTTCAACTACTCGGCGACGTAGCATGGGCGATCGATTACGAATTGACCAATGAGGGCTGCTTTGTCCACCTGTTGTACGACGAGGCGGTGGTGTTAGCGCGAATCGTTTGTTTACTTGAGGTCTATCTATTATGTGGATCTACTTTAGTTGACCTTCAATTTCTTGTAAAAGATGCATGACAGTTGGCTTAGTTAATCTGAACCTCCTCAAAAAATTCAAATCGTCCATCTCTTCATAATAATTTGGCCTTTCATTGAACCTTCTGGGAAAGCCAAATTCAAGAAACTCCCCAATTTCAAAGTCTTCATCATACACTGTCAACTTTATTATAACCTATAAATCTTGAAAACCACACAGCTAATGGAGCTTTAAGTAACCGAAATTGCATACTTAACAAATCGCGCTTTAAGAGATTCATAAAGTGCCTCTAAATACCGGTGCAAACCAACCAATGATGCAAGGGTCCTTTAAGAGACCAATAGCTTATTGATCGCATAAGAAAAAGTCGGTGCAAACGGCTATAATTGTTTGAACAACTTTTTCAAATAAATTACAAAAATTAATGTTTTCGCTTCATCAAAGGTAGCATTCGTTTTTTTTTTGATACTCCGAAACAAAATGATGTTTGACAATGTTTGTCAAAAGTTGATTTTGTACGAGATGGGAAAGTACAAAAAATTGATTTTGCGATACCGAAAAACGATCTGAAAAAACGAAAATGTTAATGTCGCCATGCTTCATAAATAACCATTAACGATACCTTTTAGGAGATACTGTTATTATAAATCTTTGTATTTAATTGATATGCAAGCGGACGCTCAATGCATATTCAGCGTGCACGAGAGATAATTCATCTCTCTCGCGTTCACATAGACATAGACTATACATTGAGCGCGCATTCAAATGCTCTGGGGGTTTTGTTATTGGTTGGTTGAAGCATGTGTGAGATTTGGCAACATCAAAATATTCATTTTTCATATTGTTTTTAGGGTAGCAAATGACATATTTTGAGTTTTTACATTGCTTATACCTGTATACAGGGTTATCCAAATTAAGTGTCCACCATTAGTAACTTTGTTATTAGTGAAAATACAAAGTTGTTTGAATTAGCAAACTAGCATTTTTAATGCTGGTAAAAATGAGAAATAAAAAAAACAATTGAGAGTCGTTATTTTGATTTTTTTCAGTAAAATAACATTTTTTTAAATGGAAACCCCTGTATATTATATTTTTTTCTGTTAAAGCATCAAATTTTAAACAAAAAAGCTTACAATAACTTTTACAAATTGTTGAAGTTATGGCCTCCAATCTGAAACAATTAAATTGTATCGACAAACTTTATTTTCAACATCAACTTATAATCTTACAAAATACAATAACAATTTTTTTTAAAGAAGATGCTCGAAAACACCACCTTGTTCTTCAATACATTTTTGGGCACGTTTTTCAACTGCTCGAACTGTCTTAAGTATGGTCCTACCATCTATCTGGGTTATCTTTTCCCTAACTGCAGTCTTTAACGCGTCAAGGTTATCGTACCTTCGCTTGTAAATTTGGTTCTTTAAGTAACCCCACAAGAAGTAATCAAGTGGGTTTAGATCTGGTGATCTGGGAGGCCACTGTATTGGGCCATTTGTTCCTATCCACTGATCATTAAAAGTAGTACTTAGAAAATGATAAGTACCTCTGGAGTTGTGGGCAGCTGCGCCATCTTGCTGAAAACGCAGATGATGTCTACTTATAAGATCCAATTCGTCTAAGAAATTAGTCAGAATTTCTGACATAAATTCCACATATCTTTCACCAGTTAGGGTTCCCTCATAAAAGAACGGGCCAACAATTTTTGAACCAATTATACCGCACCAAACGTTGAAACTGAAACGGACTTGTGGGTCTCTTGGATGTACTAACAAAAGATTTTCTCTTGACCAATAATGGTGGTTTTTTCTATTAAACATTCCAGAATTTGAAAAATTTGATTCATCTGTCCATAAAAGGTAACGAAAGTTATTTACATTTTGGCGACAGAAGCTAAGATACCAATGGCAAAAAACAAGTCTTCTCTCTGGATCCCCTGCCAAAAGCGTTTGAACTGGTCGGTACTTATACGGAATAAATTTGTATTTTTTTAAAATCCTTTGAACAGTACCATAACTGAAATTAGAGTCCTTGAGAATATCTGCTATTGAATTCTCACGATAAGCTTCAAAATATCCAATAACTGCAATTTCCGTGGCCTCGCTTATTATGAATTCTTTTTTTGCCCTTGTTTTAGCAAAAACATTTTCGTTGCCCCTAAATTTTCGATAAAGTCTCAGAAAATATCGTTCATACGGTTGAATGCGAGCGGGATATAATTCACTGTAGTATTCTCTTGCTCTCAAGGAGGATTTTCTGCACACTAAATAGCATTCTAACATATCACACTTTTCTTCATGGGAGAACATTTTTCTTTAAATTAATGACACAATAAAGCTTATAAACAAGTATTTACACTAATGTTTGACATTATTTGATTTTATCATTGTTTTCCAAAGCCTTCTAGTTGCGAGTATGTCCAGTTTAACAATTTGTCGCTTATCTTAATGCTGTCAAATCGCGAACGCCATGTTGTTTTCATAGCCGTCTTAATATTATAATACTGCAAATAATTAAAAATATTTATCGTTATTTTGACTTTAGCGGAAAAGTCATTATGAACTTTTTTGTTTAAAATTTGATGCTTTAACAGAAAAAAATATAATATACAGGGGTTTCCATTTAAAAAAATGTTATTTTACTGAAAAAAATCAAAATAACGACTCTCAATTGTTTTTTTTTATTTCTCATTTTTACCAGCGTTAAAAATGCTACTAGTTTGGTAATTCAAACAACTTTGTATTTTCACTAATAACAAAGTTACTAATGGTGGACACTTAATTTGGATAACCCTGTATATCAAGCCTAGAGAAAAGTTCTAAAGCTCATTTTTTATTCAGAATGTCCTAAAAACCGCAAAATACTTTAAACAAAGCGAACAAATCAATTTTTGGAATGGGTTTAATAACAATTTTTGGAGCAATTTTGGGCCTAGTCACATGCAGATTCTTTAAGAGGTCGTTGAATCAGATTATGCAAAAATAGGAATCGGAAGAGTTTTCCGAGCAGATGTTCCGATATTATGTGGACTATTATCCGAGTTCTGTGACGTGCATTGGCGCAAGCGTGTGGGGAGGGGCCACTTGTCAATGTCAAGGCTGGTCCGCCAGTCCACGTGACACATAAGCCACAAAACACTCTTTCATCTGCTACCTTGACGTTAAACATATGATTTTGTTAGTGTGTTTAATGTTGATATTGTCGCCATTGCTACATTGGCAATGCCGGCCGCGCATGCGCTTTAAATGCTCATTTTCTTAAGTTAAGTTACGTTAAATCGTGCATGAACCCACCTTTCCTCTGTTGACTCCTCATTCCAATAATATGTTTACATCAATATTACAATGGAACTTGAATGGATACTTTATCCATTCTAACATGCTTCACAAACTCATAGCGGATCACATGCCAGATATTATCTGCTTACAGGAAACACACTTTCGTGATGGAAAAATACAGTCTCCGAAGCAATACCAGGGATTCTACAAAAACCGTGATAGAGAAACAGCCAGCGGCGGAGTCGCTACTTACGTGAAAAGGGATACAGTAGCACATCAAGTGAACCTCAACACAAACTTAGCTGTTACAATGGAAGGAGCCAATAAGGTTACCATATGTAACATTTATATTCCACCCAACTATCACCTAGCGGATAACGAGCTTGGAAACCTTCTACAACAAATACCAGCAAAATGAATCATCCTAGGAGATTTTAATGCACATAATTATACATGGGGCTCTACAAAAATGGCAGCCGAGGTAATCTTATGAAAACGACGCTAGATTTAACCAATTTAAATCTTCTAAAATGACGGATATAGCACGAGACTAGATATGGCCACAGGGAAATTTTCAACAATAGATCCTAGCTTGTGCTCACCCAGCCTTCTAAACCAACTTAGCTGGACAGTATCAGACAATTTATATGGTAGCGATCACCTTCCGATATTAATAAGAAATACTGAAACAGATGAGACAGATACAACACCAATAGAAAAATGGAGATATAATAAAGCGGATTGGCACAAATGTATAAAGCACATAGAAGATAACATACATAAGTCAACAGTAACCAATAATATAAACAATAATTTGGACAACTTTAACAACATTATTATAGAGGCAGCCTACAAATATATAGGAAAAACTAAGCACCTAAAAACCAGAAATCCAGTACCTTGGTGGAATGAAGATTGTGAGGCAGCTATACGAGCTACAAAGCATGCCTTGAGTAAACTCAAAAAACATACCACTCCTGAAAACTTAGAAGACCTTAGACATAAACGAGCACGTGAACGATTGACAACAAAGAAGAGGCAAAAGAAATCATGGCAAAAGTTTGTCTCTAGTATCAATAATTCAACCCCATCAACCGTCGTATGGAAGAAAATAAGAAAATCAAAAGCATGTCTGGAGGTAAATCACATTTTAGCATTAAATGTCTCAAAAAGGATAACATCGTCCACACGGATAAAAATGCTATAGCTGAAACACTCAGTACAACATATTATAAATACTCCAGTGACGAAGTCTATGCCCATGAATTCATGGCACATAAAACACGAGCAGAACACATGCCATTGAAGATTGATAACAACTCTGACCAAATAAACATAGCTATCTCAGATAGTGAATTAGAGTGTGCATTAAGTGATCTGAAAGACACTTCTCCTGGACCAGATGATATTCCATCTATCTTTTTGAAACATCTCCCACCTGCTGCTAAAATGCACCTTTTGAAATTACTCAACCTAATATGGTCACAGCATGTTTTCCCTGATTTATGGAGGCAATCTATAACTATACCGATCCTGAAACCAAACAAATCCCCGTTGCTCCCAGAATCTTATAGGGCCATCTCTATCACCTGTGCAATGTGCAAACTCCTGGAAAAAATAATAAACCGCAGACTGTTGTGGAGTTTAGAAACCAAAAATAAACTAGCATATGAACAGTGTGGATTCCGTCCCGGTAAATCTACCTTGAACAACGTCATAGACCTAGAAACTAGTATACAAGAAGCATTTGCAAACAAACATCACTGTTTAGCTGTTTACCTGGACATAAATAAAGCATTTGATACAGTCTGGAGACACAATATCATCTTGAAGCTTAGAGAATGGGGATTTGATGGAAATATAGTAGCATACATCAGAAACTTCCTAACAAACAGAAACTTCCAAGTACGAGCAAATGGGACGCTGTCGCGAAGTAGACCCCAGCAGAATGGTATCCCCCAAGGTTCGATAATCAGTCCAACGCTCTTTATCATAGCCGTTAACGATGTTCTGCAATCCATTGAAAAGCCAGTTCAAGCACGGTTATATGCTGATGATATGACCATTTTTGTGAAAGGGAAAAATGTTGAATCCAGCGCCAGCCTGATACAAAAAGCCATATCAAACATAGCCAAATGTCCAAATCAACAGGGCTCACCTTTTCCCATCAAAAAACTAAATGCATAATATTTTCAAAAAAGGTTGGTGTTGTATCAAACCCACCTTGAAGCTTCACAAT